CCCCCCCCCCCACACACACACACACACACTAAAAAACCCCCTAGTTATAGGCCCATCTACCTGTAAACAAAAAGATAAAACCAATAATTATTATAAGCCCCCCTCAAAATAGTTACATTGAAATGAATACTATTTATTATGATTTTTTTCAGTTAAACATTAAAAACCAGTCAATTTTGATCAGCACTGCTAGAGCTTGTTTCAAAGTGCTTTTCCTATTCCAGTTATAAGACCCCTCAGATATAATTCCCTCCATTATTTTATAAGCCCTCCTAAAACCCCTTATAAAGACGTATAAGGCCAGGGCTTATAAGCAGCAATTTACAGTAGATAAAGAGAGGGGCCTACCAAGCTGTGTGCTGTAGTTGAAGGAAAAACCATTTAACTGTGTGTTAACCTTTAACACTTCTCCCCCCTCCCCCCTCCCCCCCTTTTTTTTGGCCGGGTAAGGTTAGAGTTGTTCCACCTAGAGAAAGGTGCATATGATTGACTGCAGTTATGATCATGAGGTGAGCCAGTTAGTGGTTATTTTTTGTCCCAGGGGAATAGAATTAGAAAAACCCTGGGATTGCAAATGCTTAAGGGTGGGGAGGGGGCATTGAAGTTAATAAGCACTTAAAAATACCAAGTCAATTTTTTTACTTCAGCTGCCTTTGAAGAGACTCACCCTTGGGTTGCAAGTCATTGTGCTCAGTGGCTTCAAAAGGTGATTGAAGATGACCCAGTAGCAAAGTCCTGTGGTAGAAAAGGTTTTCAAATTTTGCATGGTATTTTAGAGAAACAAATCGATGATGGAGGGAGTGTCACTTCTCATTTTTTTACCAGACATGCCCCAACATATTATGGAATGATGACTGTAGTTTTTGAGGTTAACTAATAGGTTTTCTGGTTACAAAATTTATTGAGTTTTTTAGTACTGTTTAAAAAACAAGCAGGAGTGTATTATCAGGTTTAAAAACTTGAGGCGCAGCTGAGAGTTTCTACACCTGATGATACATGACTGCGAGTGTTTTAAACGGCTTCAAAATCTCTGATATAGATCAACTCATTCTTGCGCTAAAAAATTGGACGTAAAGTTTAGCCTTGTCTTTATCAGATATAAAGACATTTGATCACTAAATATTAATTTCTTTTTTAAAGAATAATTACTCATGAGCTTTCGAAGAGAACTTACACACTCTGATGAGACAGAAAAGTGAGATTATTGTGATTGTCAATTAAGACCCAAAAAAAGTCATCAAAGTCGTAAAGTGCATTATTATTATGCAGGAAAACAAAATTATTAGTGCCTCTTATATTACTTTATGAGAATTTTTATCTTTATAGTGATAATAAGTATTAAAGTATTTTTATTATTTAATAAATGCTTAAGTTCAATTAGAAGGAAAAAATACTTAGTGAAAGTACTTTTACTAAACTGGGTACATGTACCTTTCACCAGAAGAGGTTGCATGGTCAAACCATAAAACTTTCTTGGTAGACTACAAAGTTAGATTATTTAATTATAGCATAATGCAGTGAAAGCTCTTGTGAGCAGAAACCCTCAGTATGTAAAAAAAAGATGTCCATAACTGGAGCTGTCAGCTTATGGAAATGTAAAAATACGAGTTTGTATGGGAGTTGAGAAAAACAGGGTTTTGTCAAGGTGGCCATAAGTAGAGCTGTCTGCTTGCAAAAGTGTCCACTGGGAGAGCTTCCAGTGTAAAATAATGGTAACATGTGAATGTACTGCAGAGGAGGTTTCATATGAATGGTCACACTATATGATTTTGTCAATATGATTTTTTATAGTTAGAACTTGTTTACACAGCATAACACCAGTGTCTATTGCAGATGTTAATATTGCCTCCCCCCCCCCCCTACTTCTTGGCTGGACTTAAAGACATGAAATGCCACATCACAGCTTCCCCTTATTAGATTTCTTCCAGGTGTCATGAGAATTTTTTCTCAAACAGGTTGAAACAACTGAACAAGTCAAATTATGTAATATAGCATAAATTTATTTGCAAAAGCAGTTATATTCTTTAGAAATATAATATATTTGCTGTCTCAAATACTGTAGCTGGTACGATTTTAAATCTTTTTCTAAAATTCTTGTAAAATCTTTGTTTTAATAAATTACTAAATAAATAATAATGCATCTATAGCTTCTGCAAGTTGATGTTAATAGCGTAAAAATGCACCAGCTCTTTAAAAAAAAAGATGCTTGTTCTTGCATCCCTATGGGTGAGCTATTATAAATTATGTATTTATAGTGTAATTAAATATTCACAATGTGTGTTACCAGTAATCAACCTTTCATCTCCCATATTCTTTTTAGCGCAAGGGTTGGTTGCACACAGGCTATATTATTCTGTCCACGTAAGGAGGGGAGCGGGGGAGATTATAAAATATTTATAGTGTAATTAAATATTCACTATGTGTGTTACTGGTAATCAACCGTTCATCTCCCATATTTTTTTTTTTAGCGTAAGGGTTGGTTGCACACAGGCTATATTATTCTTTCCACGTAGGTTTTTTTTTCTTTAATTTTTTTTTTTTCCTTTTTGAGTTATTTAGCCTATTTAGCGAGCAATTAATCCAAGTCAATAAACCCCCTGCGGCTTTTTGTTTCATGCACGCGCTCGACAATTTTGAAGAGAAAATAACTGAAATAGGCCACATCGTTATGCACTTTCATTAATTAGTTTGACGTTCTTAAAGGAGGTGGAAGGTTAAACGGGCTTTCCATGGCCCACAAAAAAGAAACTGGTCTCTTGGCAGTGGCCAATTTATTGGTGGATCTTGCAACCACTTCACTTGAGGACACTGAATCCTGCATCACCCACACCGTCGTTGGTGACAGATTATTACTCTCACTATTTTTCTTTATCTGTACTTGATCCCTGTCCATTAGTACTTCTAGGTGCTCTACACCCTCATTTTCCTCGACATTTTTTTGTTTACTGCACAGCAGAAAAAAAGGAAACAGCGATCCAATCACTAGTACTCCACCGGACATTAGGAAAGCAAATGTGTAGTTCCCGTACTTGTCCGCTATCAGTCCTAGCGAGAAAATAAAAACAGACACATGTTTGGTGTGTTGGTTTTAAGATAACCTGTGTTCAAAGAGAGGTTTGTGGTCTCGCACCTAGTTAATAAATAAGTATTTCGCCCTGCATTTCTTCTGGGAATGGCTAACAAGAAAGAATGGTGACTCCCCGATATTAATCATGATACAGGAGTGCTCAGTGGACATTTTCAAAGATATCTCCCCTAAAGGATTAACTGGCACTGACAAGTTATGATAAAGAAAATTCCGTCGAGTAACCAATAGCCTGGGAAAACAGTCAACATTTCACAAGAAAATGATGGAACTGTTGGGTACGGCACTTTCCATATTTTGTCAGAACTGGCTGGCCAGACCAGTCAGTTTAGCAAATTAAATCCGCTTTTTCCAAGAGTATTTGCTGAAAAACCATTTCCTTTGTCCATACTGTTTAGGATTTGCCCGATCTGGCTGGATAGAATTGATTAAAGTGAAATTCTCATTACCACAGGAATGGTCTGGCCAGTCAGTTCTGACAATTGGAATGCGCCCTAAGCCTGATAAACCACCACTGGTTTCCCTCAAAATGAGGACTGAGGAGAAAGCACAAATATGCCATACCGTTGGCATGTCACTACCCAGATCTGGGTAGTGGTCCAGAGTGGTTGAAAATTTGCTTTTCTGCGCTTGTTCCTCAGATGTCTTTTCGTGAGGAACCCAGTGGTGATGTCACGAAATATCGGCTGTTTTGACTCTCTAAAAGGCTCCTTAGATGAGCTGCGACAACTCCAATAGCAGCCATTTAAGAATTTCAAAGAAACTAGATTTTCAATAGAACAATGAAATACTAACCTGACAGAGGGGGAGCAAAAAATACAAACACTCCACCCATGAACATGGCAAACCCGAGGCAAGAGGCTCTTTGAGATTCCTTCATGGACTTAAATAGATCAATAATAAATGTTGATATCATCAACCCGTCCGCCAGACTGAACAGAACGATGACAACAGCCACGGAAGCATATGTCTTTGCAGGAATGAGAAGAAGGGTGGAGGCGCCCACTGTGAACACAGCTGCCTGGTAAAGGAACTGGGAGTTAATGAATCTAATGTCACAAAGAAAGCCGGCCATGAGTCGGCCAGTTGATGCAAATAATCCAATAAGCAGAAAAAGCGTAGTACTCTTGCCAGGAGGAATTCCAAGGTCATCACAGTGTTTTATCTGAAAGAAAATATGCAGGTACCGTAAAAAGAAAAATTCAGTAGGTAGGGATACTTGCTTCTAACATGGCAGCCCCAATGAGTATTGTTCATGTGTCAAGTTTTAAAACAAGGGGAGCTTCAACTGAACTTTGCCCTGTTGTGCAAAGACATGGCCTGTCAATCAATGGAAAGACTAGTAGTGTCTTTATAAATGTTTGCCCTCTTTCCACCACAAAAAAGTGTCATGCTGTACATGTCATTGTGTGCATTACCCTTGGTATATACTGTAGTGTCCAGCATCAGATGGGTTAATTCTTGCATGAGCAGCCCAAACTTTCCTAAATTAAGACCCTTATTGTCTTGCAGGGGATCTGTCGTCGAGTACCCTGACTGACTCACAATAACTCCTTTAGTGGGTCTTCATAGCTCAGCTGATAGAGCTCTGCAGCGCTAACCCAGAGGCCATGGGTTCGAATCCTGTTTGAGCCTCTAAGAATTTTTTCATATTAATTTGCAATTGGGTAAACTCCCATTACAACTGCGATGATCATATCTTCATTTAACAGTTTTGTATTTCTGTAGTTCACATTTGGCTTTGTTAAAGCAGTACTGATATAGTGAGGAAATATACTAATAGGGCGACCCTCCTTCAGTTTATATAATTCCTCTAGAGACATGCAGCAGTGATACCACAGGAAAAAATAACAGATTCCCATTTTTGGATATTTTAGGGTATTTAAAGAATACCCACAAAAATCCCAAATTTGGAAGAGTGAGACAAGTCCCAATCAGGGAACTTGGTTGGGAATTCCCTCGTTGGGACTTGTCTCATTTTGCAAAATTTGGGATTTTTATGGGTATTCTTTAAATACCCTAAAATATCCAAAAATGGAAATCCGTTATTTTTTCCTGTGTATACGGTGTTGCTTGTTGACTTGACGTGTAATAAGGGCACTTGCACCTTTTGTTTTTTACCAGTTCATGGTAACACACTCCTGATTTTCCAGTCGCCTCATGTAAGAGATTCTGGAATCCGTGAAATTTTTGCTTGTGGAATCTGGAATCCTGGAAAATTTAATGGCTTGTGGAATCTGGAATCCTGGGCTTTGGAATCCGGATTACAGCTCAAGCAATCCTACTAATGATCCATTTAAAGACTAAAACTCAGTGCCCAGAATCTGGAATCCAAGGCATAGAATCCAGTATTCAAGACTGTCTTGGATTCCCCTACATGGGTACCATTCCATTGTTCATTTGCAAGGAGTTAGGTTGTAGTAAAAACAATTCATACTCACCAAATGTACGTAAGGTACAATGCGACCAAAATTACTCACAACTGCCATAGCCAACAACATGAGAAACCTTGGATTCTTGCATGCAGAAAAATTCAAACTAAACTTCTTGGCATTCATGTCCTGGCGTTGACCCGACAAAGAACTGTTGCTTTTCACAAAACACCCAGTGAAAGAGGCAACAGCCAACAAACCAGCCAAAATACGCATGGTGTTTCTCCAGTCAAAAGCGTCCACTAAAGCTTGTAGTGTGGGACCATATATCATTGTCCCGAGCCCTGGTCCCGAGGTGGCAGTCGCTAGTGCAAGTGCTCTCCTCTTGCTGAAGTACTGGCTCACAGCTACAGGCGAAGAGATGTATAAGGACGACATCCCGATCCCGAATGGTACACTAAAAGCAAGATAAAGAATTACGATGTTTGGAGCCAGAGATCCCAAAACTAGGCCTGTGGCACAGACCAGACAGCCTACAGTAATGGTGATGCGGCAGCCGAAGCGGTTCACAAAGGCACCCATAAAAGGACCAAAGATGAGAAACACTGCCATGGTGATAGAACTTACCCATGCTGTAAACAAAACAAAAATTTACCAGTCATTTATATTTTATGCCAACTACACACTCAATGTCAACCAAGCACCTTTTTTCACCTTTAAGGGATCAAAAAGATCATGAGTTTACAAAGGAAAAAGCGGCAAGGCTGCAACTAGAAAGAAAACTTAAATTATGACTGAGGAAATCTATTTCGTATTATGACTCTATTATGCAGAAAACCCAAAAAATGCTTTGCAGCAGATGCAGAAAACCCAGTATATCACACTAACCATTAGACCACCTAGGATTTGTTGGATGGTGTGGAAATAATTTAAGTACATATAGCATCAACCCCAACCAAAAAAAAAACGCTAACCAGTTTCGAAACGGTGCTTAACAACCCTAAGTATTAAGGCCTTAACCCTAATGAGAAAAGGGGGAAACTACATTGTGTAAATTTCATGAGGTGTCCGAAGGGGCTACAGTCAATGAGATCTAATGATAACCATCTTATCAAACTGGTAAAATATTATCCAATGCCCCGGAAAACCGCTGAAGATAATGACTGCGGACGAACATCAGTCTGTACGATATTTTTTTCGGAAATCACCCATCCTCCCCGCGAAAGTCGAACGGTCAGCCCCTTACCTCTCTACTATTATACGACCCCTAGAATGAAATTCGTAGAATGCGCGTCTTTACCCCACTTCTAGACTACGAGTAGTCCCCATTTTTCCTCAGGGATAGTAGAGCGAGCGAGCGAAACGGGAGCGCGCGTGAAAATCTCCTCACGCGAGTAAAGGCAACACGCGGCGGGGAGCTCCCCGGTCCGGCCCCTGATCTATCCTACTACTTTCTCAATGTGGAAAGCTTTCTTCTCTCACGAGTACTAAAAATTGACCTTTGTACCATCAGAATCGTGTGAATTTTTGCTGACTGTAAAACCCAATTGTTATCCTCGTGTTATGTAAATGTAACGTTCAAAGATGTATTTAATTAACGGGCTCTGAAAAATTATTTAAAAGGTGGACATTTATTCTTTTTCAGCTGCTAGTAGCATATGTGAGGGCCGTAAGGACATATCATTATTATCTCTGCCAGGAGCCGATACGTTCCTGTCTCAGTGAAAAAAGCCATACGTCAACTGATTTGTGATGAAACCGCTTGGATCTAATTTTACTGCATTTTTAATATTAAAGGCGCTAATAGCTTTGCTCACTCTGGCAAGAAATCATAGCAGCGGTCCCAAAGATAGCGTGGAAGGCAAATTGTTCAACTTACCTGTTCTTTCTCTGCTTTCGTTGAAAGACTCCATAAGAACAGGGAAAAGTACGCCTAGAGCATAGTTTAATCCAACAGACATCATCAGGCATATTGAGCAACAAAAACAAATGAACCAGGACCAAACACTGTCTTGCTCGAAAGAGGAAATGTTCCTGATGCAGTAAACTTGGTTCATGACAGTAAATTCAAAGCATTCTTAAACGATACAAGATATATTAATAGAAATTTAGGTTGCCACTTGGCACCTTGTTGGATCTTGGACACGGAACAATTTTTGCTCTCCTTGTCACGCAACACCAAACTAGTTTCTAGTCTTCTGTCGATAGGACAACGACAACAACAACAACAACATCTTTTGTTTAAAGACGGTGGGGTTTTACAGCTAATATAGCTTATGGGGCCATGTAAAAATGTTAATAAAATAATAAAAATTATTTTAAAAAAAATTAACGTGGTCAATAAAAGGTGAAATATGTACAATAAAAGATATAAATAGCATCAATAAAAGACGAAATTACTGCCAATTTGGGGACAGCCCATATGTCAGGGGCACACAAAGACAATTTTCGGAAAATATCTGTTCGGAAGACGATTTGAGATCTAGAATTTTCGGAACATTTGTTGAAAATTTCTTGCTTGCCTGCCTCACCTAGGATTTTCCAACATCTAAAAACTACTGTAATTGCCCATTTTTAACGGATTTTTACCGTTAAAACGTCACCTAGAATTTTCGGGAGCCTTTTTTCTGACTGAAATTTTCGAAAAGGTAAGTTTTGATCCCTATAATTTTCGGATCACTAGACTTTCAGCTAGGAAATCCGAACAGATGAAAAATTTTTAGGGGATAAAAATATGGCTACATCTACCGTTTAAATATTAAAATAAGTTTAACATGCTATGTTTAAGTGGTTTTGAACTATATTCTCGTTGGGTGCCCCTGATATGTGGTGACTCCGCATTAAAGTTCAAGTTTCTGAGGGCGGTGAGACTTTTTTGCCCTTTTAGCATTATCCCTGGCGCTGACAGCGGATGGTTCTAAAAGATTCCAGACAATGGATCCTCTGT